GGCGTGGGGGGCTGGGGAGAACAGGGGAGGCTGGGGGAGGTTGAGGGAGGGCGTTGGGAGAAGGGGTCTGGGGGAGGGCGTGGGGAGAAGGGGGATGGGGAGGGCGTGGGGGGATGGGGAGAACAGGGGAGGCTGGGGGCGGTTGGGGGAGGGCGCGGGGAGAAGGGGGATGGGGAGGGTGTGGGGAGAAGGGCGTGGTTGGGGAAGAGCGCGGGGGGGATGGGGAGGCTGGGGGCAGTTGGGAGAAGGGGGGATGGCGGTGCTGCAGCACCCCCTGGATTGAAGTGGTTTCCTTTATATACAGCCTTTACAGTTTGGTTCAGTGGTTCTAAGCACCCTCACTATACAAATTGTTCTAGCAGCCCTGGTTGGGGGGAGAAGGGGGCTGGTTTGATTGGTGGGGGGAAGGTGTGGTTGGAAGAAGGAGTGTGGGATGGTGTGTGGAGAGGGTGGGGAGAATGGAGGCTGGTTGGGGGGAGAAGGCGGTAATGCTATATAAAGTTCTTCAGATGGGAGTTGCTTTGTGATGAGTAATGGAGAACTGGAGGCTAACATGGGAAGTGTCATACAGGGGGTGATGGTGGGAGGAGGAGGGTCCTGGAGAGGAAGTGCGGGAGGGTGGGTAGAATCAGATCCTCTATAAATACATGGGGGGATCTGTAGCTTCAAGCCCTCTCAGATGGTGCAGGGCTTGCCCATGGTATTTGGGAGGTTAGGGGGAGGAAGACACATTCTGGTTGCCCCAACTCCCTAGATAAGGTCCTTCAAGGTTTGCTTGGGGAATCGGAACTACTTGGAACTGTTATTGGCAGTGGAGTTTGGTTTTTCCAGCTCATAGCTATTTCCTAAGCCGTTAATGTTAAGGTCTTAAAGCTAGGAAGCATACGTTTTTTTCCTAGCTTCCTGTATTTTGACTAGAACAATGGCTGAAGACTAATATTTTCATATCGTAACTAGTTCCATTTGTGAGCATCGTGGGGAATTCACAACTTAGAATTTCTGAATTTGGTGAGAAATAAGCAATGCCCACAACAGTTCTCCAATTACTTGTTTCCATTTTCCGTAAGATGGTAGCAGAGGTCATGGAGGTGGTCTTAGACTTCTGACATGTGATCAGCTTTTCAAGGATGATGGCATCAGTACCCTCCACACACAGCACTTCAAAGTGGATTAATATCAGTTTGCCTGCTTTCCTATCTGCAGATAAGATATTTATTGCAAGCATTCAGAAGGGCTCAGGGATTTCAGACCTATTACTGGGCCAACAGTAGCAGTTGTCCTAAAATTGTCATGAGGCAATCCTACATTCCAATTAGCACATGAATATTCCCCCCCGTTGATTTCAGTAAACCTTTGGTTTCTTTATGTTGTGTCTCATCGGGAACAGATTTATATAGAAAAAAACTGAAGGAAAAACAAGACGGCTGTGTTTATAATTCTCCACAAGCTATAAACTTTGTGGAGAGGGGTATATATACTTATTTGCCTAAAAAGATTCTTCTTCTTCAAAAGTTTTGACTCTTTTTCCCTTTAAAGTTGCATGATGCTATTATCCAGAATTTATATAAAATAGCACAACTAAAAATGCAAAATTTTAACATTTCCTTGCCTTAAGAAAAGGAGTAAATTCAGTCACTCTAATCGGGTGTGACATATACGACAGCATATCACATCTGGTTGCAGTGTACCTGAATGATAAATAGACTTTAATAAAAGCAATTGTTGCTTCATTTCAATTTATCAGCTCTTCTCTTGTTATGCTTACACTGTAATCCATGTTAATCTCTGCCATTCCATTGACTCTGGCAGTGTGCTCTAGAAGACAGAGCATTGAACTGGGATTCAAGAGACATGGGTTCTTTTCCCAGCTCTGTGTTTGGCCTGCTGGGTAACCTTGGGCAAGTCACTTCCTGCTTCTGTGCCTCAGTTCCACCATCTGTAAATGACTGGCCACCTTTCTGAGCTCTATTGATGGATAGTACTATATAAGAGTAGGTAGTGATGGTGGTGGTATTAATCAGCATCCTGTATTTAAATGCTTTCCTTTTTCACTAGTCATTCCCTTCTGTACTTTACCCCAGTGAACTTCGGTGTTGGAGTGGGTGATTCCCATTGGAGTCAATGTGGGAGCTTTTTTTTTTTTCCAAGCAACTATTGTGCCATTGCTGCACCAGTGTGCTCCCTTCTTGTTCCATTCCCAAAACCCGGGGAAACACCTAAATTTTAAGCATTGGTGCCCAGGCTTACTCCCAAGCATGGGAAAACCCACAGTGCTATGTACTAGAATTTTTCTGCTTAGCTTCCTTACTGTATCAAGTTGAACCGTGCTTTCTTGCTATACTTGAGAATGACTTAATAATGGCTTAATAAAGAGCGTTTTCCAGAAGTTGACTGAGTTATGCTGTACGTCAGTGAAATGGGGCAGCCCAAAAACTCAAGTATCAGGGGGTAGCCGTGTTAGTCTGTATCTACAAAAACAACAAGGAGTCTGGTGGCACCTTAAAGACTAACAGATTTATTTGGGCATAAGCTTTCGTGAGTAAAAACCTCACTTCTTCGGATGCATCGGAAGAGGTGGGGTTTTTACTCACGAAAGCTTATGCCCAAATAAATCTGTTAGTCTT